ATATGGAACTCCTGTTTGGACATTATTATTAAAAATAAAAAGAAGTTTTGGACTTTCATTTATTAGGGTTGTTTTTGTTTGTTTTTTGCAGATATATATTGAGATTTTGAGTTTACTTTGGATTCTTGGTAGTATTGCGATTTTTTTTTTTTTTTTTTTTTATAAATCTTTGTTTGCTAACAAAATCAACATAATCCTACTAAGTGGTTGGATTTTTTTTTCTTTCATCTCAGATTTATAATTTAACTCTTATTGCCTGTTTTCCTGTGAAAAAACCCCCTTAAGTATTTATGTGTTCTGCTTTTATTAAAGCCGAATTTATATAAATGATGATTTCTTCAATGAGAGAAGGAAAACTATCCAAATAAAAATGGCCTTTTTTTTTTTTTAGAAATGCAGTCAATAAGACTGTCCTGTTTTATAATAACTGGCAAGGAATCGTTTAAATAGCTGCAGATGAATTTAGACTCCCGGGTCAACCAAACAGGAGGATACATGTGAAACGGCCCCCCGGTATGCGTCTCCGCCTACCTGTGGGTTGGCGTCCAGTATGCAGACTCGTCCTGCCTCCACCACCTCGTGTATCGAGTCCACCTTCAGCCCATACAGGTTGCCTTCATACTCTCCATATTCAAGGTAACGCCCATTCTTGATGTCGGCCTCCATCTTGGAGCGACTTGTGAAAGCGTACATTCGACTCTCACGTTCACCCTTTTTAGGCTTCCTGGACGTGTCTGGATGAGACGAAACCACAGCTGATTCAAGGCTTCTAACCCAGGAAGCAAAGCTTTTTTACTTGGGATTTTTATCATAGTATTTAAAGATGAAAACTGCAGCTAAAAGCAAAGAGTCTAGGCATGACAGACATTGTTATCAATGCATCGAATAATCCTGAAGATAATAGATAAAATCCTTTAAACTAGTCAGAATTCATACATGGGATGGTGGTGCCGAAAAGTTGAGGATCTCTGAGCAGAAGCTTGGCTTTAAGCCGACGCCTCCCGACGCCCTGAGCTCCAATCAGAACCAGGGTTTTCCTTTTGAATGGTGGGACCTTTGCCACCCCCTCATACAGCAGGATTTCATGTCGGTCAAACTCTGGTTAAAGGAGATAAACAGGTTAGAAAAAATACAATCCTGAGGAAATTAAAAAACAAAATCACAGAAAAAAACCCTTTACCTGCATTTTTTGTGGTCACATACATCATCTTCTTCTTCTTCTTTACTCCCAGACCAGTGCAAAGATTTCCTGTCACATGACAAAGCAGCGTTCGCATTAGTTGATCAGTTACAACCAGAGGCAACGCAGGACGACGCGGCACTTTTATAGTTCAGCCTGTTTTCTTTTTTACTCAGTTATGATCAGTTAAAATACAGAAACCACAAATATTAGGAAAGAAATGAACAATTTAAGTTGATCTTCATGATATATGTTAATATTGTTCTGTTATATTAAATTTTAAAAACCCTGAAAACTAAACTAGTTTGGATTCAGTGGTTCCCCTAAGGCTGAAAAACCTGTTGTTAACCCAGGAACAATCGTCTTTTAGTGGCAGTGGGAACAGCTCAGTGACGCGTCTACCCGGGTCAAACGACTCGGCGAGTGTTGAAATCGCCTCGGCTCTCATCCGCATGCTGTGGGAAGACCAGAGCCGCTGACCTGCTAAATCACGTGACATCATTGAGCTCAACATACGGACGTCAACACACAGTGCCAGTCGCGGAAACATGTCAGTTTCCATTCGATAAACATGGAGCAGCTCTGGTGAGAAGGATTCAGACAGTTAATAGAGCAAAAAATAAAGCTCACTGACTACACTCTGGCTCCATTTAATGTTGCTCTCCATTGTTTACTTTTCGGTTTTGCGTCACACTGGTGACATCATGAATGTTAACCCTGCATGATGGTGTCACCAGACACCCAGTCGCAGGGGTACAGAGTCCACGCAGCTGCCAGCGACTGGTTAGACCAGCTTTTATTGCTAATGGGGAGGGAGCCGAATGCCCTTTGTTAGCGGATCAACCCATGTTTGAAAAACACTCGTTTACCCGCTATTTTCAGTGGGAAATATGCTCTATGGTAGGAATCCTTTTGAAACTCTGTATTTAAAAATGTTTCGTGCTTTTCACTGGTCTGTTAAATAACTAAGCTGTTAATATGACGACTAAGAAAACAAGTAAAGCTCAAAAAAATCAGAATGTCATAATAAATGTCAGTATTTCCAGCCACTCCTCATAATATAGATTACATTAATGGCAGACTAAACTAATCCAAGCCTAGGATTAGTGGTTAACCTACCCTAAGCCACTCCTTAGATCTGAGCTCTTGTTTGCGTTTCGACACAATTAGCAAATTGTTTTGCTATTGTGTCGATACTGTGTCACTGAATACTGACACCTGCTGGACATTATAATCACTACAGGCAGCCTCTGACAGACTAAACTGATTTGATGACCTATAACATGATTTAAGCCATTGTTTGGTATAATGTATTATTTCATATCTTTGTTTAAACTGAAAAATATAATTCATATTTTAGGATGTGGGCTGCTCAGTGCTCAGTGATTAGCACGGCTGCCTTGCAGCAAGAAGGTTGTGGGTTTGATTCCCAGCCCGGGGTATTTCTGCATGGAGTTAGCATGTTCTCCATGAGCATATGTGAGTTTTCTCCGGGTACCCCGGCTTTCTTCCACAGTCCAAAAACATGACTGTTAGTTAAATTGGCTTCTCTAAATTCTCCTTAGGTGTGAGTTAATGGTTGGTTGTCTCTGTGTTGCCCTGCGATGGACTGGCGACCTCTCCAGGGTGGACCCCGCTTTTCGCCCGTAGACAGCTAGATATAGGCACCACGCGTGACCCCACTAGGAAAAGAGTGTCAGAAAATGGATGGTTGGATGGAATTTTAGATACAATCCATAAATGTGAAGATATAGCAGGGGAAATTAAAGTCAACACGTGAATAAGGATGTTTGTGAACTGGGATTAATTAATTTATTTAAAATAATAATTATAGTAACAACAGAAAAATTAAGAGTCAAATTGAAATCAATTGTAATTCAGATCACTTGAGTGATAACTGAGAGGATTACACAAGAAAATTAAAACAAATATGAGATCAACAGGGTCACTCCCAC